GTGAACTACGGCTCTGTGAAGTAAATGCTGCTCCATCTGAAAGCATGTAAAAAAAATACCACATTTAATAACATATTTTTACTCCAAAGTCACTTCATAACGTCAGTCGAGTGTTTGAAATAAATCCTTCTGTGAGATGATGTGGCTTACACAGAATAAGGCACGCAACATATTTCATAGCATTTAAGCAGTGATAAAGGCATTGCATTATAAATATACTTTATGTTAATGAAAATTATAATAAAAAGAACTCAGATAAACCGTATATTGCCGTAGTCGTGTGTTTATTAGTCACGTTGAATCAATGAAAGCAGTTGAATCTTCTGTTTATTTAGCTGCAGGGATAGGCATTTTCTGGGTTTCTTCTGCGAGGCGTATTTGGAGTTTCAGCGTGAGAGCGCCCTCTGGCCTTTGGATGGAGATTTACTGCTGATCACAGAACCGTGCTTCACTGAAAGATACGAATGCCACTTCTATTGAATCGCGATTTCGATTCCATTTCGATTTATCGTGCAGCCCTAAACAGCAACCCATTTTTTTTTGTGCAATTTATAAAATTCAAGATAATTAATGGTATTCTAGTATATTAAGTGTTCTTCAACCTTGGTCCATAAAATTAAAGTTAATTTATTAAATATATAACTACATTAAGAACATATTTTATAGGTGCCATTTAAAACACACCTATTTTTTTAGTTCAAAAAAGGTTTTATCAAGCCAAATTTATCTTAATTATGTTGTTCTAGATAAAAACAAATATTACACTTATATAAATGCCCGAATTTCGATTACATGTAATTCTACTTCAAATTCAAATAGCAGTTCTGCACAGCACACAACTGTGGCTAATAAGCGCGTGATAACAATAACTTGTATTAAATATTTTTCCACATACATACCCTATTCCCCCAGTCCCCATTATCCATTTGATAAGGATAGGTAAACCGGTCTGATCCACAGAAGTCCGGATATTATACTTGAATAGACCTGCAAAAAGAGACACTTATTAGCCCTACATTACGGCACATAAATATGTATAGACCTCACTTGAGAATCTCAATTTTTTAACACATCTGAGACGATAATGAAGAACACAATGAGATAAACACAGGATGCATTACTGTGTGAGAAAGCTCAATAGCAATTTGGTTAGGCATGTAAACAGGTTTTCGGTTTCCCTCGAAAGAAGTTAAGAACGTCCAGCGACGGTGCCTGGTGACATCTAACGTTAAAAACATGAAAACGTTGTAATAAAATGAAGCGTTTTTTTTTAGTAACCTTTGCTAACCAGCTATCATAATACACAGCTAGCTCCCTGCTAACTCCTAATGTGAGAGTGACAAATGAATAAAATAAACGTTTTTCCTGACAGTCATACTGTATGGGATAACCCTATCCTCACCCGTCTCCAGGCCTGAGGGGTTTAATCGTCTGGTTTGATTGCGGCTGTACAGGACACTGAGTGTTTTAGCTGCTCAAAGACGAGAATACGGCAGCCGCACTGTCACGTGACCCACACTAGCGTACATTAATGGCAGTGACAGGAGAATCACAACACATCTGTGCAGAAGAACAACAGCTCTGTGCTGAAGAAGCTTATGTTAAAGGCATCTGTATTGATCTAATCTGCAATGCTAGATTTTTAAAGTTGGGGATAAAATGTTGCTTTGCATAAATACCACATCACTACAAAAAGGTGACTTTACTGACAGAACTTCACCAGTAAAAAAAGAACCAGAGGTTTTTGGACATGGGAAATCAGTTTATTGGACATGTACCATAGCTGTAGCTACTGAAAGGCAGGAATGATGCTAGAAGCCCACAACAATTCCAGCAGGATTAATGTAGGAAAATAATTAATAAATGGTATATACAATGTAGCCTATGTTTCTTCTAATTAATCCACACACCGTGCTTTGCGTAGTGCAAGCAATGTTAATGTTTTAATCCTTATTTTAATATTTAAATCCATCATCACCCCCACCTAATGCATGAAGGGTTCAAATGCAAAAGCCTCTAAGTGACGTCTAAAATTAGTATTTTTCTCAGGCTCCTATGTTTATGTTCAGTTACTTCACTTTAATGGCAATGAAAAGAACCTATTCATTTCCACTCAAGGGAAATGACTGAACCTACACACAGGAGCCTGAGAAAAAAATGCTCATTTTAGAAGAAAATTTCAAATGGCACAGAGGCTTTTGCATCTGAACTCTTCATATGCATAACTGGACTTAAACTTAAAGAGGTATGGTTCTCAGTGCTATACAAAATCATAGGACTCAGAATGACTAAGACCCATAGAATGAAGTGCATTGGTACATAATAATCAGTACCACGGTATACATAAAAGTACTATAACTCTACCATCAATTTGGTAGCACTTTACAACAAGATCTCATTGGTAAATATTAGTTCATCCATTATCAATGTGCAATATCTTTTTGTACACCATTTATTAAACTTTGTTAATGTTAGCTATTAAAAATACAATACAATAGATACAATTATTGTTTTATAACGATTTAAAAACGTAACATGTTGAAATGAACATTAAGATTATTAAATGCTTCATTGTTAGCTCAGGTTAAACCTAATTGTAATGTGTTACCATACAATTTTTTATAAGCGTGAACTTTTTCTTTACTCAATTAAAAGGCTGTTTGCATGTGAACATACATACTACAAAATTATTACTTCTTATATAATTTCTCCATAAGTTTGTTATATACTTCAGGGCCAGTGGGGTGCTGCGTTTAAGTATTTAGTAATATATCCTGAGCTGTCTCAGGATTTCTTTTTGGTGCTGGTGCTCTCTGTGCTCTGCTGAGAATTGATGAAATCTAAAATGAGTTTGGCTGTTTGTCGCGGTCGCTCCATCACAACAGAATGACCGCAGTTCTCCAGCAGATCAACACGACAGCCTGGAAGAGCCTCCGTGAGCAACGCTGCCCCAGACACATCCACCACCTGAAAATAAAGACAGGAATATCACAGAAAAACCACAAAATAAAATAAACATTAACTGAAAATATTATTTTATATACCTTTTAATAAATTGTTACCAAGGCATTTCTTATTTTCATTTAGTTTAACTATACTAAAACAAAAACATGAAATAGACACACTTTAAAAAAGTAAATAAATTAAAATTACAATAAAAAATGTATTTAAAATATTAATGTTTTCTATTTATAATTATAGTATGCAGGCTTACACCTACCTGGTCCTGTTTGCCCCAGATGACTTGTAAAGGGGTAGTTATTTGCTGTATATGCTCATGCAAGGCATATTTTGAATTTTCACTCATAATTTCCATGAAAACTGTGGCAGTTTAGAGAGAAGATACTTTAGGCAAATAATTGATTAAAAACAACACTTTCTATAGCATATTGTAAAAGTATATAACTGCAGTGGGTAAGCCTATGTTCGTACTGACCTTCATGATAAAAGTCATTGTGTGGTATCCGTACATCCACGAGGCCTTGTAGAATCTATAATGGAAGGTAAATGCCACAGATAGTGCATGAAGGTGTGTTCTGAGTCTAGAGTAACTCTGCATTACATTTGTGTGACTGACTAACCTGTTGAGGCACTCTGAAGCGCACATGAGAACAGAGCTTCAGCATCTCCTCCATCTCCTCCGGGGTGGACGGAATAAGAGGAATATTCAGCGTGTACTGGCTGTGCTCCACTTCATGCATCTGACTGTCAAACTGGCTCTCCATTTGGTTCTTCAGACCTTCAGAGAACAATGTGAGCATGTGTGATATTAAAAGAACAGTTCACCCAAAAAAATGTAAATCTGATTGACAGCCGATCAGAATCCATCCTCGAGCATTTAATTCTGCAGGTGACAAAACTGCAGTACAAGCTTACAAAACAGAACTTTATTGTGTGTTGGTGTGGATTCTAATATAATCTTTATAGTTATTATTCTTGGTGTGAACAGGCCGTTTTTTAAGTTAATTTTGGTTTGTATTTATGTATTTATCCATGCATTCTGTGTCAAAGACTAAATATATTGACTAACCAACTGGGCAGATGATGGTCAAACCGCAGAGATCTGAGGGATGATAGGCTGCATACACTCCGGCCACAGTCCCACCCATTGAAGTGCCCACCAGATGGAATGGCTTTCTGTTTAGCCGAATTGCCTCTACAAACTGAGTGGTGTAAAAGTAGGGAATATTCACAAATTCTGCCAATACAAACATTTTATATGCTGGCTTATGATCATAAAGTAGACTTTACGGCAAAGAGGTTTTCATTAATGATAAAGCATCATTCCAAGTCTACACTCTAAAAAATGCTGGGTTAAAAAGGGACAAACCCAGCTATTGGGTTGTTGTGTGACCCAGCGGTTGGGTTGTTTTGAACTCAATCACTGGGTCAAAACAACCCAATAGCTGGGTTTGTCCGTTTTTAACCCATTTTTTAGAGTGTAAAAAGTAGGTTCTATGAAAGCAATATTTGGCCGTTTCCATGAAAAGGACACAAAATAGGGCCTGAATCTGTTTTTATTAAGCAAATGAAAAGAGAAAAAAGGTGCTTAACGTTTTGGAAAAGTTGACTGTCAACCTCAGGAGGTTTTGTTAAGTTATATTTTAGATTTTACAAATATGCTATAAAGATTTTCTATTCATTTTTACACTACTGTTTAAGGGTTTGGGGTAGGTAAGATTTTTTAAATGTTTTTTCTAAGTCTCATATGCTCAGCAAGGTTCCATTTGATGAAATACACAACCAAAACAGTAATATTGTGAAATGTAATAGTGTCACATGATCCTTCAGAAATCATTCCAACATGCTAATCTGGTGCTCAATCATTTTTTTTGATCAACGATGAAAAACTGTTGTTAATATTTTTGTGGTATGTGGAATTTTGTGATGCTCACAAAAGAACAGCATTTTGTTGAATTATATTTACTGTCACTTTTGATCAATTTAATGCTGAAAAATATGAAGAATATTTATGATATTCTTTATATTTGCTTTTGAACTTTTGGTTGCGTATATGAATATTTTAAATCCCCGTTACCAAATTTTGGAACATACAGTTAAAAATTTTTTTTGATCAACGATGAAAAACTGTTGTTAATATTTTTGTGGTATGTGGAATTTTGTGATGCTCACAAAAGAACAGCATTTTGTTGAATTATATTTACTGTCACTTTTGATCAATTTAATGCTGAAAAATATGAAGAATATTTATTTATGATATTCTTTATATTTGCTTTTGAACTTTTGGTTGCGTATATGAATATTTTAAATCCCCGTTACCAAATTTTGGAACATACAGTTAAAAACCCTATATTATTGTCTAGCCATAAACGTGAAATAACCATAAACATTACATTCACAAGATTTATAAAATACTATAACATATAAATAAAACTGCCAGACTGGTAACAGAGTGGAGAATTTAGTTTAAAGTTCAGTATATGGACAGTAATTTCAGACCAAGGATTTGGTACAACAATTAATTGAATAATTATGTAATTTATGGCATTTTATATCTAATAGTACTCACAGCACACACATAGTATTTTATGCATCTACGGGCTTAAAAACAAAGTCATGGGGCATCTATTTGTACCCCATTCATAGAAAAACGTCCCCATCCAGCGATTACCTGCCGTATTCTCTTGACCTGGCCCTGGATTGAATAGTCGTCTGTGTTGGTACGTGTTGTACCCTCATGCCCCGGCATGTCAACACACAGTAAGTGCAGATGTTTGGGAAGGTACTGTTTAGGATGAAGACACGATGTGATTATCGCTGTTATAAGAAGCAGCATTTTCATTTTACCTCACAGCCAGGCCACTTAACATGCTGTACCTTCACCATAGGAAGCCATGTGTCCTTGTGAGCAGAGAAGTCATGCAGCATGAGTACAGAAGGCCTGAGGCCTGGTTTCCCCCTGTATGAGTAACAGAAGCGATAACCCCCGCAGTCTGCATGACGTACCCGCAGACCCAGAGTTCTCCTCCAGTACCTCCACAAACAAATAACATGGGTAAAAAATCTATAGACAACATAACTACAAAAGATGCATGTAAATGCATGCATACACTCAAAAATAGTGGATTTAAATATTTTAATTGCTTATACATTTTCATCCATTTGGATTACACAATTCGAACACAAATTAATAAACTTAATGTGACATATCTGTCAGTCAAATGAAACAGGATTTCTGTAAACTGAATGTTTCAATAACCAGGTTTATATATTTATCATCAAGAAATTCCGTTTATTTCAATTACATTTTAACCATGTAATTTGAATACATTTTATTTGTACAACAAACAGATTCATGCTGATTCTTAGCAATTTCTGTCTTTGATTAAAAGATGAAGATTTAATTAATATTTAAATAAAATCAAATAGATGCAAAGAGTTAATAAATTATGCCATGAAATCGTACCGGCTTTATTTTTGTATGTCAGTATGACTGACAAATATGCATCACTTTAAGTTTATTAGTTTGTTTGTTAAATCTGTATGATTCAAATTAATCAAAATTGTATACACAACCTAAATACATAAAAAAATATTTGTGGCTAAATTTAAGATTTAAGTGAAACTATAAAAGATATTCATTTAAATGATACATTTAAAAATGTGTACAGTGTGGCTCAAACAGCTGATACAATGAAAATGTTTATTTATGGATTTGTCTAATTTAATACAAATTATATTGTTATTATTATTTATATAATGTATTTATTACATACAATTTGAATAAAATGTCAGTCACAAATTAATATTTTACATTTTTCAATCCTAGAAAATTACTTTCAGTTTCCTTTCATGAAAACCAGGAGGTTGGGCTTCAATTCTAAAGAAAGATATTTATAGACTATTATAAAATAATATGCATACTTATAGTATTTCTAAGTGGTATTTACCAGTAATAGACTTTGATGAGTGATGATGGCCACAGCATAAAAGAGGCCATGAAAAGGAGGAGAGGGATAGCAAGAGTCCCTGCAGCAATGGCAAACATATTGACCATATCCCGATCCATGGCAACTCACTTTTTATCTAGTAAGCACCCTGCAGAACAATACAGCACACAATTACAAACAGAAACGACTGGCAAATATGACACATGCTAGGGAATGAAGTAAAACTTCAAGATACCTTTATTGTCCTGCTGTATGCACAGGTCAGAGTGAATGAGGCTGAGGGATGGGAGAGGCTCTGGCAGCATCTGTTTGTCTAATCAATACATGTAACCTAGATATCTCACCATGCGCTTAAAATATTTACATGACCATCATTTTAGGGTCACTGCCTAGAAAAAAAATGTTTTTGTATATTCACAGATATTTTACAGTTCTGAACATACATCTACAAATACAGCATCTCACTATAAGACAACTGAACCTTTGATTTGCGGTTAAAGGTATACATCGTTAAAATAATAACTGACCTATGACTCAACAAATAGATTTGGAACAATTTGAGAGCAATGAACTTACTTCATAAGGTTAATCCTACATTGACGTCAGCAGTTCTAATCAAGCAGTTTTAAATGACAGATCCAAAAGTCCCATTTAAACATCACACTGTAGCCAGTCAGTGTGCAGTCTGTTCTTATAACTTAATAAACGTCCCTGTCAGCTGTCTGCCTACCCAATGAACACTGAGATGGCATCCAGAGAAAACTCTATGTGGGGGATCTCGTGATCCCAAGAAATCAATGAGTTCAAATGGAAAATGCAATATTCCTCTTACTCCAAAAAAAAAAAAAAAAAAAAAAGAAAAAAAAAAAAAAAAAAAAAAAAAAAAAAGTAAATAAAACAATCAAATAAATAAATGCAAATTTTAAAAATAATATCAAATGAAGATACGGAGACATTTTCTGCATTTAAAGCCATTTAATTGTATTTATGCTCATTGCACATTTATGTTGACATTTTTTAGAAATTTGTACACATTCTCAAGATGAAACCAGATCTAAAGACATCACTACATTTAGAACATTGTGAGCAAATTTATGGAGGCAAATTCACATTTGTTCGGAGTTGAAATTAAAATTAGTCCTCTAATTTAGTTTTGGATTAAATATAGTGAAAGGTAAATCTATTTGGAGAATATGAGAGTATATTTAAAAATTATAGCATAAAAAAAAAAATAATACTTTCATTGAGCTCGGGCGGATGCATTAAATCGACTTCTACATTGTAAAAAAAGAAAAAGAAAAAGTAAACTAAAATGTAAAATGAATGCTTTTCCTTTGGACTTTCTATTTATCAAAGAATCCAGAAAAATAAACAAAAACATGAAGCAGCACAACTGTTTATAATATCAATGATAATAAAAAAAAAAATTCTTGAGCAGCAAATCAGCATATTAGAATGATTTCTGAAGGATCATGTGACACTGAAGACTGGAGTAATGATGCTGAAAATTCAGCTTTGCATCAAAGGAATAAATAACTTTTTTAAATATGTGACCCTGGACCACAAAACCAGTCATAAGGGTCAATTTTTTTCAAATTAAAATTTAAATAGATACATCATCTGAAAGCTGAATAAATAAGCTTTCCATTGATGTATGGTTTGTTATTGAAAATCTGGAATCTGAGGGTACAAAAAAATAAAAGATATTGAGAAAATTGCCTTTAAAGTTGTCCAAATTAAGTCCTTAGCAATGCATATTATTAATCAAAAATTAAGGTTTGATATATTTACGGTAGAGAATTTACAAAATATCTTCATGGAACATGATCTTTACTTAATATCCTAATGATTTTTGGCATAAAAGAAAAATCGATCATTTTGAGCCATACAATGTTTTTTTGGCTATTGTTACAAATATACCCATGCAACTTATCACTGGTTTTGTGCTCCAAGGTCACATATATAAAAAAAAGTTATTTTAAAATTTTATATTCATTCCACAATATTGCTATTTTTACTGCATTTTTGATTAAATGTATCCTTGGTGAGCATAGGCGACTTCTTTTCGAACTTTTGAACAGTAGTGTATATATACACACGCACACATAAATGCAGGTATTTCACAGAACAGTAATATGGAATGGAGAGCCTGGAATGTGTTCATCTCCCCACTTCACTGCTAATATGTATTTTCCTCTTTCTTTCACAGCATAGGTGATCCTGTACTGATGTCCGCCCATGTGAATGATTGACACCCGCTCGCAGGGGACGGTGGGGCCATGCATGCCAACAAAGAGAAGGTTTCGCCCTACAACACAAAAGCAGCTACACAGTTCTGAGAGAGACATTTCTCTGGAGACATTACTTAGTGAAATGAGTTACTTAACATTCTTGCCAATGTCAAGCTGCACTCACCAGCTTTACTGCAGTCCACATAAAAAGTGTTTTTGCGTCCTAGAAAGCCCTTACTCAGGCCTGGGCCATGGCAGATGACTTTACTAGCGTCAGACAGGAAAACTGGCTCAGCACTGCTGTCAGATGTTGTGTTCATCTCCATGTCTGACAGAGAGGGTCCCTCATAACTGTTACACATCTGATTATGATCTATGGCTGGAAAAGAACAAAGTACCATCAGACCTACACACTCAAATATCTCCAATGCAAAATAGAAATGGTCACCAAAACATTCCTAATTCATACCAGAGCAATTTTGTCCTTGTGTGAGACTCTTATCTGTGGCAGCACCGACAGACACATAGAAAGGGCTTTGAGAAACATGCTCCTCATCAAACATGACTGAAACCTCATAGTCACCTGCAAGAGAACAAATTCTGTAAATCTGTCTATAAATCTGCCCTTCCCTTCCTAAGAAAATCATCAATCAATATGCTGACGTTGAATGTATATTTATATCAAGTGTAAAGCAGGATGAATTCTGATTGGCTGTCAGTATTTTTACTGACAATTTTAATAATATTGTTCCTCTGTGTTGTAATTGTTATAGTTGTGATGTGGATGTCCCTATTCTCATATCATTTTTGAAAAATGTATAGTTAACATTATTGTTGTCATTATAGTTATTGTCCTTGGTTTGAATGGGTCAAGTCTTAATATATTGAATAAAATACTAACTCACTTTTTGGAAATAATTTTAAATAATGGAAATATTACACTGAAAAAAAACTGCAAGAAACAATTTTCACTCAGAAATTGCTAGTAAATTTCACAAAAAAAAAAGTGTGAAATTTTCAAGAAATCCTGAAATCCTATAGTATTTTCTTGTAAAACCTGCTCCAATAATATTTTTGTTTACATGTTTTTTTAATTGTATACATGTTTTTATCATAGTTTCACAAATTTATTTTAAATAATTCTAAGTTATTCCAGATCTCTAGTGACCATCATTCTCCAGAAAGTCACACCATTTTTGGCAGGAAAGCAACAGGACAGTAGTGGATTTGATGAATTCTGTAATGTTTTGTGGTATTAACTGATTCATCTTACTTTAAAACTTTCCATCCTGTTCAATACAATTACAGATATTGGTATTATAATATCAAAACTTCACATATGGTCAAAAATGATCTCCGTTATCAAGTTCACATCCTCATATAAGCTATCTTCAGTCATTCTACGAGGCAGCCTGTTCATTTTCCATTGTGTAAATAATCAAAAGCTACACGTACTTAAAGTTTAGGATTCATAAAACACAAACATTTTTTAAACATTACATATACTGCATTACAGTAATTACCCACCAGGCTCTTGACCCGTGTAGGACACAATGCAAGAACCATCCAGCTGATCATCAAAGTGGAGCTCAATCTTTCCAGGACCCTCTACTGAGACAGACAGAGTTCCCGCTCCGGCCTCACGGGACCAAATATTAAAGTCAGCTGCAAAATGAAATCAATACATACTTTTGAAATGACTCACAATCGACTTAGCCAGCTGTCACAGAGTATATAACAAAACACCTCACATTAACAGAAAACAGAAAGAGAAAAATATTAGTGGGATACCTGGAACACTTGCTAGAGCTTTTTGAAGGCGTTGCCCCCACACCTGGACCTTTTCACATCCTCCCTGTCCAAGTGGGCCGACGGTGTACTGCAGTGGCCAACCAGGGATTGTCTGATCTTGGTTATTTACGGTCACATTATAAACTCCCATCTCTTTAGCTAGAAAGCTCACTGCATAGGTGTCACTGCCTGTGGCAACAATAACAGCCTCTCCTGGACGTCCCGAGGGCTCATGCACATAAGCAGACAGAGTCTCAGCATCAGTACCTGTAATGAAAGGGAATGTATTTTTGTTAGCGGCACAGCAGAGTCCTGGAGAAGTCAGATATAGTGCCTGGATTAGTGTGATGGGCTATTCATCTAACCTGGGATTTTGAAGGCTAAGCTGCATTCACTCCCAATGCTGGCAATAGGAGCTGCTTTCTGGTTGTACGTGATGTTCTCTCTCATAAGCCCACGGTCTGTCACCACAGCTGTAAAAGGACTCCCTGGTAAAGAGGAATATAAGATTTATTCATTTATTATACCTTACTTTAGAAAAGGTAAAATCAAAAGCCTAATGTCCCCTAAAAGTTGTGAACCAAATGGATTTAAGAGCAATTTCACAAAAAAAAAGTTATACATTTAAAATAAATAAATGATATATAAAAAAAATTAATAAAATTTATTTTTTAATAATATAAATTTACCCAAAATATACAATATTTACAAATTCTTTATACACTACCTTTCAAAATTTTGGAGTCAGTAAAAAATAAGTTTCTTATGCTCACCAAGGCTGCATTTGTTTGATCAAAAATACAGTAAAAGAAATTTGTAATGTTATTAAATATTATTACAATTTAAAATAACAATTTTCTCTTTTAATATAATTTAAGATGCAATTTATTCCTGTGATGGCAAAGTTGAATTTTCAGGAGCCATTACTCCAGAAATAATTTTATGATGTTGATTTTAGAAAGCTTAAGAAACATTTCTTATTATCAATGCTAAAAAGAGTTGTGTGGCTTAAATTAAAAAAAAAAAAAATTTGTGAAACTGTTACACATTTTTGTTCAGGATTGTTTGATGATATTTAACAGAAAATAAAAATGTATTTGAAATATAATTTTTTTTGGTAACATTAAAAATGTCTTTACTCTAACTTTTGATCAATTTAATGTGACCTTGTTAAATAAAAATGGAAAAAATGGTTGCATAAAGCAGCTCTATTAACCTGGAATGTGTTCATCTGAGAATTTAATGGCGATTTTGTAATTCCCAGCCTTGATTGGGCAGT